AATTTAGCATATAACATAGTGCTATCAGAATCAGTGCTAGAGAATCACCACTTTCTGTCAGAATTTTGACATGTTCAGAGGTTGTTGAATGATTGATATTGTAAAGTGGCAAACATTAGTTTACTAACTAATTTTTTTGGTGTTGGATGCTAAAAATTATTATCATTTTCGTACCACGTTTTAACAATTTAAACATGTTCATTGATTGCTAAGCGATCAGTATTGTAAAATGGCAAACCTTAGACTTAGCACAAATTGTCTTGTCTGGTAATTTTATTTCACATATGTCTCTTTAACGGTGCTGATAAACTATAATCACAAAACAAATAACCCAATATATTCAGAGACGAGTAATATTCAAAAATATGTAATTGAGATAATTTTTTTACAACTTATATATATAATTAATTGACTTTATATAATTAAAGTCACTTTATACAAATACTTTATACAAATAAAGTCGTCTTTAAATTTTAAAAAAAATTTATCTAGATAATAGATAATAAATTTTATCTTTATTGTCAAACTATATATCTAGTATAAAAAACTGAAAATTAATTTTATAATTAAAGAAAAAACACATTTTAATTTGGACACTATATTACCTTTGTCATAAATTGCTCATGGGAGATATATGAAAATGTCCAAAACTGATGCGTGGTCAGTAATAATTGGTGTGAACTTGTCCTAGTGAAAGTTTTTAATACAAATTGTTTTTTAAAGTTGATGAAAAACTTTTAATAAACTGCAAAATTAAAAATGTTTTACAAATTTTCATAATAAAATAAAGTAATATATAAAAGTTTGATCAAAAAGTTATAATATATAAAGAAAAATAGTTTAGCAAAAATTTGCATATACTCGAATCATAAACTTTTAATGTACAAAAAAAATTATTTTGTTAATTTTTATAGAAGAAAATATTTTTAGAAATATAACAAAAAATTAAACTCTCTAAGTAAAGTTTTCTAAAAGAATAAAAATAAAAATAAAAATAAAAATAAAAATAATCAGAAAATGTTATGTGATATAGTTTTTGTTTTTGAGAAATGTCAAATGCACTTATTATTTTATAGTAAAAAATAATGAACACAACTTTATATTTAAAATAAAGTTTTACGAAATAATTAAAAATTATTTTCGATATAAAAATTATTTACAGAATAGAGTGTAGATAAAAAATTTAAATATTAAATAATGTTTTTTAAATAGAAATAGAAAAACATATATGCAATAACAAAGGTTTTTTCAGTAACTTTAATTTAAATTTAAGTGTGCGTCAGTCATACAGTCGGGCAAAATTAGGTAAAATTACTGAAATGTATTTCATAACCTAAGACAGGACGCACTGCCATTTCGCAAATGCAGCCAGCATTTCGCTAGCGAAGGTTGGCTTCGAGCGAAATGCTCGCCAACGTTCGAATACCAGGTGAGCAGTCGAAAGGCAGGCTAATAAAATTAAATTTTACGCAGCGAAACCAAAAACCATTTCGCAACTGGAAAGCACCAACAAAGTTCATAAAAAATTGTGTTCATGCTTTTTCTTACTTTTATTTTTATGGCAATAAACCCACTGAGAGTATAGTTTATTATTTATTTAAAGAGTAACTAATTTTTACATATAATTTTATTTATTTTAAATCATAAAATTATCTGCACTGCAAAGCGCGAAAAATTGGGGTTATATTTTATGGTATAGGTGTTATACCTTAATATTCCTGTAGCAAGCGGTTCAAGCTCCAATAAAAAAAAACAAAATATGTTTTTCTTTGTGAAGCTAAAAATAATTAAAAATTAAATCACATTCTTTTTGTAAAATTTTACTCACAAATCTTATTAATCCCTGTAGGTAAATATTTGAAAATTAGGATAAAAGTGAGTGAAAGTCAAATGATCCAAAACTGAACTTACTAATAAACCGAATTGAAATGATATGTTTAAACTCATCACGATAAATCAGAATGGATTAGTCTCGTATAAGAAAAAGTAAAGCAAAGATTTACTCTTATTTAAAACAAATTATTACATGATACATTGTATGTGTTTATCCTAACTGGGTACATATTTATGAGAATAGCTAAGGTATAATAAAATAATTGAACCAAAGAATAGCTATGGTATAACAAAAGCACTCAACTATTATCAAATAATAGCAAGAATGTTGATGAAGTGCACTGAACAGGTGATAATCCTAATCAGCATAATCAGAACAACTTATCAGGGCTACCATAATCAGAACTATTAATAGGGTGTTTCAATCTAAATCGATTTAAGGGTTGTATTAAACTAAATAAAAATAACTTAAAAATTATTACGATAAAACTGTTAAGACATTGTAGGTTGAGTTTTTACCTTACATTATCGAGAATTAGCTATTATGGAACATATAGGTTTTATGTAAAAAAGAAAGAGACTGTAAAACACGTGATGAGAGTCTGACCTGTACTAGTACAGAAATGAATAAAATACGTAAGTAAGCAGATTTTATCATATGAAGAGAGAGGACTCGATTAGGTAGAATTGGTATAACAATTAATTAAGAAAATTGGACTCAAAAAAATACTATAAATGTACAACATTTACAACAATTGTAATAGATTTCTAGGTGGAAATGCAAAATATCTTTACTTTATGATAATAAAATGGAATATATAAAACAATATACCTATATGGATAAATGCTCTGATAAAACCAAAACATGTCCATAATTTCGAGTTGAGTTCAAAATGTTATAAGTAAAGGTAGTACTTCAGAGTGTTCGAGCATCTCATTTATACTAGAATTAGAGTATTTGAAGCAAACATTATAAATATTTGAAGATGTTCGAGCTTCACGAATATGATCAATCTTTCCAAATATGTTCGAACCGCTCAAGAAACAGATTTTTATTTCACTTTAGCTTTGTATTGTTTATATAACTATGAGTAATAGCAAACGTTCGAATACTATATAATTTCGAACATCAAAGTACTTGAAATTTCGAATAGCTTAAATAATATAACAAAATCTATAATACACATACAACTCATTTTATATTGTATCGAAAAATGTCCACTTCCACACGTACAAAAAAAAACCATGTATACATGTCCATAAATTAGCTAGAGCATTGATTGCTTGTATAAGTGAAGTGATGGGATTTAATACTAATATATATTACTATGTAATGAAACATTACAATGAAATATGTGTTAATTTGTATTAGTAGCACAATTTAAAATATTTTTTATATATGATTTGATTATTTTAGTAAATAATTTATTGTTTAAATCACCACATTTTATTTGAGAATGTATTTTATACAGGGAAGCCAAGGTTTACACTGGACTGTAGTGCCAAATAAGAAGAAGAAGTATTTTATATGCATATGTATGTATATAATAATTAAATATAATTTTGAATGGGCTCATTAGTCAATCAATTTTAAATAAAATACGATTTTCTAAATAATTTTGAATAAATATATGTATATCTAAATGATTTTATTGTCAACAATATATTCCCACTTTAGTCTATAGTCCTCTTCAGAGTACTGTAATTAGTGTTAGGGAATTAAAACAAAAAAAAAACTATACTTAAATGTATAAACAACTATTGTTTATATTTTTTTTTATTCATAACATTTTTTTTTTCTATAATATTTTTCAAAATATAAATGCATAGGCAAAACAGAAATGAAAAATAGGGAAATAAACAAGCAGGAAAGCAAACGCAAACGTGTACGACAAATGTAACAAAAATTGTAAAATAGCGCAGTAAACGTAAAACATAGCGAAATATGCCACCCTACACCGCCCAACGCCCTACGCCTAACGCCTACTTTATTATATATGGACGAGAGCGTGAATAGAATTGTGCATATATGTTTGTTTGTTTGTTTGTTGGTGTTTGTTTGTTAGAGCATTAGACATAAAAAAAATTGTATGTGGTATAAGAGCCACCCCATAAAGTATTTCTAGTAGTGTTAGTACAAATTTTTGCAATACAATGTATATGCGTACACAACTCACACACACACACAGAAATAAAAAAACATGTGCACAGCATACTTGACAAAGCAAGCAAAGTAGAAAATGTTGAAACAGTGCTGCCAATGCTTTGCGTACATTTTTCAGCCTGATAAGAAATAATCGATCGATTTTTCCCGCTGTGCACGACAAACTTTCTGTGTAGTCATACGATGAGTTCTTGTAGTCGTAGTTGTCCGCGTAGCAATCGTAACAGTCGTAGTAGTAAAAATGTAGGGAAAATAGCAAGAAGCAGTGTTGCAAATGTCTGCTGCCGCTGTCGCTGTCACTGTCGCTGCCACCACTGCTGATGCTGATGCTTTTACTGCTCAAAACAACGTAAAAGCAGCAAGTAGAAAGCAAGTAGAAAATTGTAAAAAAATAAGTAGAAGAAAAGTTGTAAAAAAAGTATTACATGTGTATGTAGGTTGGTTTATTGCAGGTATTTATTTTAGTGTTTGTGTGTGTGTTTTGTTTCGTATGTATATGTCTAAGGTGTGTTAACCTCAGAAAAACTGTAAACTTTTTATAACAGTTTTTTTTTGCATAGTTTTCAGCGCAAATAACAGTTGTTAAATGTTTAATATTTTGAAGTATTTGATTTAAAACTAAACCATTTCTTTTGTTATTTTGTATTGTATTTTAATTGTGAGTTGTTGTAATTTGTTGTTATTGCATTGGGGAACGCATAAATGCATTTAATGTTGTTAGTATTTTTGTCAATTCCAATTTTACGATTGCGGTGCGCGCCTAACACTACCAGCCCACTTTTTGGCTACACACACACACACACACACACACACTGTCTATACACCATACTATAAGGTATGGTGGCTTAACGGATGTGGTGGAGTAATTGGAGGCAGAAAAGAAAGCATGAGGACGGTTTTTTACTGCTATTTTTTTGGTTTTGGTATTTAAGAAATACCTTTTTTCATTTCTACACCAAATCAGTATTTTTTTTTTTCGTTTTTTGTATATAGTAAGGCTTACGTTTTTTGAGCTGGTGAGTTTTATCCTTTAGCACGGCTAATCCAAAATATTGATTTTTGTGATTTTAATCCATTAAAGTGTATTAGGCTTGAACTAAGTTAAACTGTAATTGCAATAAACACTTCACACATTTAAGAATGATTGTGCCAAATTTATTTTATTATACTTCTGATAATACTATGTTTTATTTATTTATATATTTTTGTATATTTTTAATAAAGAAATTTAAAAAAAAAATTTTTTTTTATTTTTACTAAAATTATTTTAATTACTTGCTTTGGTTGCATGCAATTTCAATTTTTGCTTTGCGTACAATTTTCTACACATTATTTTCGTAGACTCTTTGGTGCTCTTCAAAAACACACTTCAAACAAAACGATATTTGAAAGACTTAAATTATTTATATAGAATAAAGCTTTTCCTTTTCAGTGTAGCAAAAGGATTTTACTTTTTGCTTGATAAACTTTTACATTTTTCTAAAAAAAATTCAAATATTTTTGCTTCTTTAGTAGATGTAATATATTTTACACTGCACCACAATATTTTTATTTCATTTTTATTCTTTTTTCTGAAATATTACTAAATTCAATAAAACGCACAATTTTATTCACCGCCGTTCTAGAACAAAAGTCGTCCTGACTCTATCAACGCATACGACACAATGACAGCGAAATGCGAGAGCGTATTGGAAAAATCCTGTTGTGTCGGCGTTGGATTTCCACCGACAATTTCCACCACCAAAAACGAAATGCCAAATGCAAAAGTGAAAAGCAGACGACGCAGAACAAACATTCTCAGCAGCAGCAGCAGCAGCAGCAGCAGCGCAACAGCAGCAGTAACATTGGAACAGCACCAATAACTAAGATTGCTGCTGCTGGTGGTGAGTGGTGAGTGCTGCTTTGCTGTGTGCAGAAGTACGCACACAAAAGAAAATCAAAAACAAAATTAAAAAAAATACAAGAAAAATAAATGCATAAAGCCCTGCACCATGCATTGAGAGCAAGAGGGCTGCTAACAACAGAGACCACCACAGCACAACACAACACAACACAGAGCAGAGAGTAAAACACAACAGAGCAGAGCAAAATATTCAAAACAGCAGCAGCAGAGCATTGCCTTTTTGCTGCTCACATAAATTTCATTCCTGGGGTAATTAGCGAGATAATACACAAAATATTAAAAATAATTATCAAAAGCTAAAGTAAATATTAATTAAAAATTAAATAATTAAAATTAAATCTTCTTTGAAACAAATAATACTTTAAACAAGAATGATGAGCTTAAGTCATTTTGATTCTTCAGAATTGTTGCAGATTTTTCTCACAGATTTTGACAGTTCCTAAAAGGAATGCACCTTCTACTTGCATATTCGAAAGAACTTGTGTGTGTGTGTGTATGCTGCTCACGTGTGTGATTCACTTCATAAGCCTATATCCTGTCATCCTATAACCTAACCGCACGGTCGGAATTACTTTGATTTGCATATATGTATATATAAATTTTGTATATATTTATTAGTGTGTATGGGTTTGATTGTGCTAGTATAATATCCTTTGCTTTCATTACTGTTTCCTTGTCAGCTTAAATTTTTTTTATTATTTTTTACTATTTAATAATAAAATTGAAGTCAACGTAAACAAAAAAATCCTTCTGTTTAATTTGAAGTAATGTGTTAAAAATTTACGCTTAAATTTATAAAAAATATTCCATCAACTATAGAATAAATCTCTTAGAATCCAATCTTGGAATTTCAAATAAAAAATATTTTTAATAATTTTTTAATCGCCACACAAAGTTTGTGAAAATCGATATAAAAAGCAAAAAAATGCTGTGAAAAGAAAATATTCCTTCAGTTTTGAAAAATTATTTTTAATAATTTTTTTAGTTAGCTGACTTAAAGTTTGTAAAAACAGAGAAAAAATGCTGTAAAGAAAAAATATTGCTTTAGTTTTATGGGAATATAACAACCCGCTTCTTAAACTATGGAAGATGATACCAATCATCACTCATAAACTATACGTATAACATTCTCATTCCTGGCCTAGGAGTATTTCACCTCCTGATTAAGATTCAAAAGTTTTTCACATAAAGTCCAAAGTCTTATGTTTGTAACTCGTTTCTAAGAATTGATTTTAATGAGTCTCACACTCACGCAAAAAATAATAGTGAATTGCTGACTTAATACAATATAATATATAACAGCTTACGAGGACGGTTTGATAAGTCAGTGACTTTTTGAATTTCCCCCCGCAGTTACTCCAAATGCGACAGTGCTACCATCAGCTGTAATCTACCAGTGGGCAACTTTTTAATTTTGAGCAAGCTACGTCGTTCAGTTGGTGTTTGATAGCCGTTCAAATCAGACAACCTAGTCACGATGGCCAAAATCCACGAATTGGGATACGAACTGCTACCCCATTCAGCATATTCTCCAGATTTAGCACCCAGCGACTATTTTCTGTTTTCAAACTGTCCAAACCTAAAGAAATGGCTGGACGGTAAGAGGTTTAAGTCGAATGAATAAGTCATTACCGAAACAAACGCATATTTGAGAGCTTTGAGAAAACCAATTATTTGGAGGGAATAAGAAAATTAGAAAAACGCTGGACTAAATATATCGAGCTAAGAGGTGATTATGTAGAAAAATAAAATGTTTATTTGCCGAAAAAAAAAGAGATTGCTAAAGCTGTGACTGTTTTGATTAAATGGATTTAAAAAAATTTTAAAAAAATATGAAAACTTTCCATGCTTAAAGGATCAGATTACCTAACTTTAGATCAAAAATGAAGCGGCCTGAGTAGCGGCCGCTCCTGGTTACAAGACAAAAATATTACCGAAATCGGTGTGACTGAATAACTTGAGAATAACTGATATGTTATACTTAATGCAAGATTATCACATAATGTACACTTACAATATAAGTTACTTTACCTGGTACCCAATCCACAGATGTCAGCACGGAATAGATGACATTTTATTCAATATATAACAGCAATTTTTTAGTAAAATTTTTTTTTCATTTTTAAAGGTGTTTCTAAATTTTTATTTAAAATATTTAAAATTTTTTATTATATTTTATTTTCAATTCTTAATTACATAAAATATTAAAAATTTTAACTTAATTAACATAATCTTTCTTTAATAACAGTCAACAGCTGAATGTTTTGCATGCCATAACACACCCTGTAAACCTAAAGCACCCAATTTGTGAAAATTGCAACAAAAACCGTTCTCACCACACTTAAAGCCATAAAATGTGCTAAAGAGAGTTTAAAGAGAGTGTCAGACAAGTGCACATTTTTAAAGGAAAACTTACAGACACACAGATTATCAAAAATATAAACAAAAAGCCGCTTTGCAGATTTCACATTAACGAGAATTGAGCGAAATACATGCAGACACAACGTGCAATTCTCACCATGTAAGCTGCAAACTCAACACCAATATAAAGAAAAAGACAACGACACATCAAGTATAACACCAACACCAACACCAACAAAACATTAAATATGAATTGAATTTACCGTTATGCCAGTTTTGGTTTATCTGTACGGAACGAATTAGAAGTACCGAGTAGTTATAACTTGGACTGCTCGTAGGACGATCAAACACGATTGCACTTTCTCACGATGCTAACGACTCAGCTTGCTGAGTGCGATGAAGGCAGTGCGATGAGCTCGTATAATTAACATAGGCAACTGAAAATGTTTACACGGGAATCTCACTGGTGGTTGTTGTTGTTGTTGTTCTTGTTCTTGAGATTTACACATCCATTCGTTAGCTCGTAAAATACGAAGTAAGGTTGAGTTCACTTCACATGACATAAACTAAACCGTTAATGGACGAGTGTAGAATTATCGTTAGGAACCGCAACGTACTGCACGTAGCGAAGGCGAACAGGATTCTGATTGTGTGTTTGAAAAGCTAAAAAGGATCAAGCTAAATTTTACGGCAATCCGGTTCATTTTCAAATAGTTCACTAAAGACGTGCGAAAATGAAACTAAATGAAAATTTTGAAAAATGAAACAAATTTTGCAGAATTTTTTTTGTAATTTTTGTTGAATATAAATGGCAGGATATCAACGAATTTTGTTATTTATTGTTGAAGTGAATAATTTTTATTCCTGTGTAAAAGGTGAAACAAAATGAAAATGAGACAAATTCTGTTGTCAACAGAGCATAATAACGAAGTATGTAAATGGACATAATGACAAAATGCATGCGGCTTGTTGTTTACATATGAACCAGCTGATTGGTTGCAGAAAAAGGATTATAAGAATTTATCGAATTCGAATCAATCAAAGCAAAACAAAACGTAATTAACGAAAGGCAATAACGTGAGAATTCCTTTAGTCGCTTGAGGGCTTGTAAATGCCGTGAATATGACATGTGCGGTGAGAAGAGGTTAAGGAAACTTTAGGTTTTTTTTGTCAAAACATTTATAAGGCATTGAAAAGAATTTTTATTCTTAAGAAAAGTTTAAATAATTTATTAAACTTGATAATTCTTAAAAATGTTATATTTTGTATGAAATTATGTTTAGAACCAAAAGAAAATTGCATGTAAAGGAATTTAATATTTTAAATTAATTTTTTATATTATTATTATTATATAATTTTATAAAGTGTTTTTTCGAACGGTAGTGAACTACAACAACAAAAATTCATTTTGTATTACTTTAATTATAATTGCAATTAAAAATAATTAAAAATATAATTAAAATAATATATAAATATTTCAATTATTTAATTTTATTAATATTTTAATTTGATTTAAAATATTTAAATTTGCAATAAAACTCAAACAAAAATATTTTATTATAAGTATGAGAAATATTTTAATTAGTTTTAAATTAACAAAAAAAAAAGAAAATAAAAAATTTCTATAACTTATGACTAAAGGTTGTTTTTTTTATTTAAATTAAAGTTTTGCTTATTTTTTCGAACACATTAAAAAAAAATATTTTATTAGTTTTTAAATTAATAAAACAAAAAATTTAATAACTTTAGGCTTAAGTTAATTTTCTTGTTAAAACTCTATATTATATTTATTTTTTATAAAAAAGTATATTAATTTTTAGGTTGATGGTAATCAAATGTAAGCTAAAAAG